CCTGCCCTCCCCCCTGCCCCCCCTCCCCATCTTCCCCACTTCGCAACAGCAGCCCTGCCACGAGGCGCCACTGCAGAATGGGAGTGGATAGAGGACATCGGCAACAAGATCGGCAACAAGGTGAGGAAAAAGGAGGGTCCCTACACCTATGAGGACGATATGGCGACGGATGAGGCAATCATCTACTCTGGTACCGGCAGCCACGACATGACAAGGCCAGAAAGGGTGCATCAACATGACATGTCTCGGAAGGGCACGTCACCCACAAGAGGTGACTGCGAAGTCGCAATGGCTATGCAGTAATGTTACAAACAATTCAACGGCCCATGGGACTGCCACCACAGGGCAGAACTGATCACATGGCGCTCTCAAACAACTACCGTAACTCTATGTATGACATGTAACTCAGTCTCTTGATTATGCTGTCAAGGGACTCTGGACCCGGTTTCCAGCAGGTGCAGCTCCCCACCAATGGAACGGAGCCATCCAAAGAGCGGGGACAGTAGAGGGGATGTCTGCCCGTATCAGCACCCCCTCTACACTGGTTGCTGATGTTTAAAAAGAAGGAAAAAAAGAAAAAAAGAAAAAGGGGGCACTGGACCCGGTTTCCCGCAGGTGCTGCTCGCCACCAATTGACTGGAGCACCCAGCTGCAGGCCTGCTGGAGGGGGATGATCATATCACCCCCTCAAGCAGTACCCGCCGGGAGACTTCCCAAAAAAAAAAAAAAAAAAAAAGAGGCGGCATGGAGTCATGGACATCCAAATTTCGGTTGCCAGGCAGGCCAAGAGGCTAGTGTCAAAAGAAGGGTAATTTACCCCATCCCTCTGTCAAAATGGGGAAAGGCATGAAACACCTGGAACTGAAAAAGCAGCCCTAGTATGGTGACTCAAAACTCATCCGTGAGAGCCCCTCTGAAGTTTCCATTGGGATGGTGGGCCAAGTGATATGGGGCCACAGATGTCTTTGCAGTTTCCATTGGGATGGCGGGCCAAGTGACTTTGAATTATTAATGAAAGAGTGAAAACCATAACTTTCTTTATGATGTGGGGCCTCATATGCCTTCGCAGTTTCCGTTGGGATGGTGGGCCAAGTGACTTTGAATTATGAAAGAGTGAAAACCATTCCTCTTTTGGTGTTCTTGGGAATACATGCTGGGCCCGGTTCCCAGCATGTGCTGCTTCCCACGAATAGATTGGAGGATGTCCCACCTAGGTACCGATCTTTGAGCCTAGGATACCCTACTGACTAGAAGAAGTTACATCTGCTTTGATTGAAACTGCACTGATGTTGACTGACCTGGCTATTGTATGCATGCCATTGCTTGTATGTGTATGTGGTTTTGTGCCCTTCGGAGTGTCGTGTTGCAGGGCGCATGCAACAATGCATATCTGCCATTATATGGTGATCTTTCACCCTAGGATACTTAACCCTTGAGAAAAAGAAGTCAGTGGAACTTTGATTTTCTTTTTCTTTAATGAAGTTAGGGGTCCTTTGGTGGAAACTGAGCCGACCTGTTTTTCGCATGCATGTGTATGTGGGGTTTTGCCCTTTGGAGTGTTATGTCTTTGTCTGTTGCATGCCATCCATGTAAGTGCTTGGGTTTTGAAGATCATGGTGGTGTGGTACAGAGAAAACACTCTTTTTCTGCATGTTCATTGTGCATACTTCTGTGGCACGATTCTTGTCCTCACTACAGGGCGGACTTGCAACCTTTTGTCGTGAGTTGGAGGTTCTGTCTCGGCAGCGACACCCGTTCATTCTTCGTCTTCTTGGGGCTACAGTCAGTCCCCCAGATCATTGCTGGGTCATTACAGAACTTCTACATGGAGGAACTGTTACAGAGTGGTTACATGGAGAGAAGAAAAGAACTTGGTACCGAAAAGTCCCCCTCCCTGCATTGACAGAGCGGCTGCGCATTGCCCTAGAGGTGGCACTAGGAATGCAGGTATGGTCTCCTGGTTGTTTTCTTCAAGCCTTGTACATTTTGAATTTTTTATCAACCAGTGGCAACGAGTGCCAATAACACATTCAGTCATGCTATGAAAACTATGCTTTTTTTTTTGCTTTTTTTTTTTTCAATTCCTTTGCCAGTGTTAGCGGTGCTGGTAAGAGGAGACACCACTAGCGCCTGGGAAGGGGCTCCATCTATTGGTGGGGAGCGTCACCTGCTGGAAAACGGGCCCAGCGTCCCATATACATTCAGAAGGCACTTGTGGGGGGTTCCTGCCAGCATTGATTACCCTGGAGTCCAGGGGATTGACTGAGCACGATATTGGGGGGAAGGGGGAACCTCTTCACCCTGAACCAGGCACCAGTTATCTCCTGCTACTCATTAGTTCCTCCCTCCCCTACCAGTCCCAATCCAGACTTGTGAGAATATACATGCAGAGCCTTGCAGATTTAGAAAACTGTGTCTTGCAGCTTCATCCTACTACGGACCCCCTCCTCCGTACCACTGTTCCCCTACCATGGCTAAGGCTGGTGGTGGGAAAGGGTCGGGGAAATCTGAAGCAGAGTGCTATGGGATGTCTGGGTAGACATTTGTCCGCTCTTGAAAAAGAGGATGGTAGTTCCTGTCATTTTGTCCCACAATTTCTTCCCCCCCCTCCCTTTCCCTGTCCCCCTCCCATCGGATATTTGCAATAGGATTCCCCTGGGTCCCCCCCAGCCAGTCCTTGCTGAATTGTTGAATATTTTTCTTGATTTCTGCTTTGCTATGTAGGGTTAGTAGTTTTTCTTCCGCTTTTTCCCATTGAATAGTAATTTCGGCTTGCACATGCAGCCTGATTTCCTCTCGCAAGATTTGGCCATCTAGTCTTACTTCCTCCATTTCATAAACGCAGCGTCTCCTCCATAGCGCCCAGAGCACCGCTCGCCTTCCTAATTTAAACATATTCTCCTCGAAGGTTGTAAGGGTGGTCGTCCTTCTGCCGATAGATTGACTCCTAATACCCTGATCGGGGCTTCCTTTGGCAGCCATCGAACCCGCTGGCATTCTGGCGGTCTGGCCCCTTGGTAGCGTATCCACCAGCCTTCCGTTTTATTCCCCCGGTTAACTCTCATATTTGATAGATCACAGAACCGGTGCATCAGTCGGCGAACTTCCTCCATGTTTTTAGCCCTCCACCATGAGGGTGAGATCAACGACAAAGAGGGAATAGATAGGGATAACCTCCTCTGAAATAGAAGTTACCCTTATTTTCTTAATTTGTTTATGGGTGCGTAGGTTAGCTGCTAGTGCCTCCATAATTATTACAAACAGAATGAGGGCAATTGGGTCGCCTTGGCGCACCGATCGTTCCAGGCGAATGGGAGGAGCCAGTTTGTCATTTACCTGGTCCCTCGTCGTAGCGTTTTGACGAAGGATCTTGACCCGGCGCCTGAATCTTGGACCAAAATTGAGTTTTTCTAAGCATTGGTCAAGGAAAACACAATCCCACATGATCATATGCCTTTTCAAAGTCCACAAAAATGATAGCAGCGTTGTGCCTAGACTGGCGGAACAGCTTAATGACCTCATTAATGAGGAGGATATTGTCCTGAATCTTCCGTCCTTTAATAAAACCGGTTTGCGTTGGGTGTATGATATCCAACATTATCGGGCCCATTCATTTTTGCCAATGCCTTTGCTATCATTTTGTTCGCCACAGTCAGGAGAGTAATCGATCGATAGTTTCTAATATTCATTTTGTCTCCTTTCTTATGGAGTAGGGTCAGTATCCCTTGTCCAACGAATTCTCCCATTTGTCTCATTGTCCAGACTGTTTGGTAGTATTCCACCAGATCTTGCGAAAGGGAGGCCCACATTGTCTCTCATAACTCCTTGGGTAGCCCATCTATTCTGGGAGTTTCCTTTTCCTCCATTTGCATTAATGTTGTCCATATCTCTTCCTTTGTAGGCGGCATTTCCAAGGCTGCACTTTGTTGTTCTGTAAATTGTTTCTGAAGCGGGATCAAAAAATCGCTAATTTCCTAGATCCTTTGGTCCTTAGGGGAGTTTTTGCACTGTGATGAAAAAAGTTTCTGATAGAATTTCCTGGCTATATAGACATATTGAGGTGTGGTGGTGGCGGGTTGTCCTTGGGCTTGTGTCGGATCCGTGTGGGCATCAATGGTCGTCCTCCCTGTCCTAAGCCTAGCCATGGCAAAAAAAATTGTGTCCATGGTTCCTTCCGTCTTTTGCTTTTTTAGCTTACCCCGTATGCGTGTGTCGTTCCATCTATGCTCCATTTGTTTGAGGAGGCGAGTCTCCGTTTGTTGTATGGCAGCGGACAGGTCATTGTTATTTTCTCCCAAGTCTGCTTTTGTGGTTGATTAAGGTCTTTTAAGTGGTTTTGAAGTTCAATCTCTTCTCTGTTGCTCTGAGCAGCTACTCTTTTAGAGTCAATATATTTTTTTGCCAAGAAGGCTAAGCCATTGTTAAACCATACAATATCGTTTTGAACTGTATCTTTGTGAGAGTGCCAATAGTGCCACGTGTCTTTGACAAAGGATTGGAATGAATGGTATGTCAACATTGAGGTGTTCAGTTTGTAGAATCATGGTCCTTGGTCGGACTTTTTACGAAATGAGAGGATCGCCACACACACATAGCGTGGTCTAGGCCGGGGTATGGGCTCCGTAGAAAAAATTCTGCAATCTGTAGGGAACCTTCAATTGTCGTGGAGATTAGTATTAGATCAATTCTTGATCTAGTAATTTTTTCGGGTCCATTTTTTCGCAAGCAGGAAAAAAACTCGCCTGGTGGGGTGCAATTTACAAAATGAGTCGTAAACATTTAGGGAGGAGCAAAGATCACCCACAATTTGTTCATCCGTCCCCACGTATGTCGGGCATGGGGATGGTACCCGCCACCTGTCCACCCATCTATTAGGTGCAACATTAAAATCACCCACTAGAATTATGGGAATTTCCTGCGGGGACTGTGGAACCTTGTCTTTTATATTCTAAAAAAAAACTTTCCGCTCCCCCACCTCATTCGGACCATAAATGCAGAGTATTCTCACTAGTTCTAACTCCAGCATGACCAGGATTGATACCCATCTCCCTCCCTCGTGATCAGCTTCCTAGTACATTGGTACAGCCCTAGAGTTCGGGGGGAGCAAGATGGCGACCCCGACGCTCCCCGGGCGCGAGGCATGTGATCTAAAGGCTAGGTGTGGCCAAATCATTTTATGTGCATAGTAGTAATTTTCCGTATTCATCAAATGTGTCTCTTGAATGCAGATAACATCTGGCCAGTCCCTCCCCCCCACTCCCTTTACCTGGTCCCATATGGCCTGTCTCTTTTGTGGTGTGGCTGTCAAGCTATTCGTGTTTAAGGAGTGTAGGTCCAAGTCTGCCTCCCTTCTCCCTTTCCTCCAGTCCTTGTCTTGGTTATACAACGCCTTAATAATATCCAATTCTTGTCTTCTTCTATCTTTTATTGGTCCCTCCCCATTTTCTCTTTCTTTTTTTTGAAAGGCGCTCCCATTCGACCACATCCCAGTCATCTTTCTTGGCCCCAGCAGGATGCAAATATCCTTCCTTAAGGACCCTAGCCAAAGCTATCCTAACATCCTGCTCTGTCCACATTTTTTCAGGCTTGATCTTTAAGAGTTGCAACTCTAGGAGAGTCGTTTGTGTGAACCAACACAGGCCCGCTTCCTTGTTGGAGTCAAAAAGCACATAGACATAGTTATCAGCCACCGATTGCTCGCTATACGCCGCTCTTCTGGTGGCGATCGCTCCTAGTTGGAAGGACTTTTCGATAAAGGATCGTGCTTCCTCTAATAAGTTGTCTATCCCTGATTGGGACCACAGGGAGAATTGAGGACCATTGGGACGCTATGGCTGTCTCGCTGGTTGATCACCTATCGACGCTGATCGTTGCAGGCCTCGGAGTCGGACGTGGCCGGTCTCAGCCGAAGGCTGTGTGCCCGCCGCTCCTCCTCCGAGCGAGTTCGCCGGATGAAGCCTGTAAGCACTTCGAGCACGGGGGATGGGGCCAATGCGGAGCGATTGCGCGCTAGGGGATGATGGTCAGCGAATGGAAGGGCAGTATGTGGTGGTAGGGAGGGAAGACGGTTTCCATAATAATTATTCTCGGTTCCGCAACAAGGTGGCACGTGTACGACCTAGGGAATTCAGGGTGGTGGGGAATGCGCCACTCGCAGATGCGTTCGTTTCCCACCGAGTATGGGAATACGAGAAGTTCTCTCTTTGGTCGTGCGGACAGCCACACGTGCTCCCAATACTTCCGGAATTCTTGATCCCTCAGACACTCGTGGTCGGTAATACGAAAGGGGAGTTTGATGTTCATGATGTGGGGTGAGGCGGAAACTCAGTCATTCGGAAAACTGGGGCCGAGTACAGGCTCTACAGTCTACAGACATGTGTGTAGACCGCGTCCTTCGAGTTAGGCTTACACGTGCATGCACAGGGCCTGCCCTCTGGTTTGATCAAAAGGAAGCACTGACCCGTGTTTCATACGTGCTGGCCTGTAACCCGAAGGTGGATGGTCCTATTGCGAGACATGCATCTAATAATCTAGCATAGTTATTTAATTCAGACATCACCACAACGTCATTATAGCGGACCTCTGGTTGGCCTGTGAGACCAGCCCCTTGGCGTGTTCTCACAAGCCTATGTTGTATTCGGGGTAGTCCAGTCCAAGTCGGTACCTCTGCCGGTACCAGCCAGTCCAGTCCAGTTCGGTCAGTCCGCTGGGGTATACCCCAGCCAGATTCTGTATTTCGGATCATTCTGCATTCTTACAGTTTGGAGTACGTGCGTTGGAGTCTCGCGTGGGAGCTGTGCTGTACCATCTTGCTCCACTCTCATCCTCCATCTCCATCTCTATCCCAGGCGGAGCACCACACCTGGTGGGTCCGCCACACTGGTATTGGAGCGGGAACGTTCCCCGCTCCCACCCACCACACCGCACAACAGGGAAAACAACAAAAC